AAGTTATCAAATTTTCCGTTTTAGAGAAAATTTATATGTAGCATCCATAATTTTTCTTTTTTTCTTATCGTATATGCATAACCAGTTAGCGATATGCATTATGGCGTCAGGACCATACTTATTATTAGCGAATCTGGTAAGGAGATAATTTTAGATAAAGATTGGTTTTTTTTTTGGCGTCACTGTATAGTGCCGATCATGATCGTAAAATATTGTACGAGCATACTTCGATTAGGGCAAGGAGGTACGTACGTACGTATGTACTGTCGAGTACACACTAAAGAAAATGTTTCATGAGAAAAACTATATAATGCTAACGTATTTGTTAAAAAATATTGATTCGTACTTGATTGGCGCACATCATTTGATTGATTGATCAGAAGATAAACGATCTATGTAGGACACTTATACAGATTTGGGGGACGTCTAAAGCGGAGCAGATTATTATAATATATTTTATTGAATTAACTTTAGGGTTAGGGTCATTTTATATTGGGGTTAGGTTATAGTTATATATAAGCAAAATTGCCTTCCAGACATTTTTAATTAATCCACCCGAAGTAGGTTTAGACTGCCGATTTTGTATTTTTCAGGTTTTTTGTTTGGCGATCATCAAAATTCGTCAGATATCATGTGATCCTGCTCCGCTTTAGACGACCCCCAGATTTGGAAATTAATATTTATTTGTGCTAAATTGGACTTCAATAATTTCTAGTTTTTATTCTGTTTCAAATACAAAAATGTGGGACATTATTTCACCACTCTTTAAAGGAATTCACGGAGAACTTACTGATGAATTAAAATATCTAAAAATTAAGCATGAGATTAAAGATAGTCGTGAACTTATTGAAAGGCTAGCCGCGAAAGCTAAACTTGACCCCTTAAGTGTAGAATTTTCCCAACATCTTGACAAACATGACAAATTGAGCCACCTGAGAGATGAATTTAACATTCCTAAATCGCGTGATGTTATTCCAAAAGATGTTGGTACGCACTTTTTATGGCTCGGATATGGATTAATGTGTCAGATATTTAAACATTCGCATTGTCTTTGGTGTAAACAGTGTCATTGAATCCTAATGAATCTAGCATATATTTTTGCGGTAACTCTCTTGGGCCAATGCCAAAGCGTGTAAAAGAATTGGTGAACCAAGAGCTTGATGTGTGGGCTACATCGTATATACTAATTTTCTTATTATTATAACCATTGAAATTATATAAGCTTTTATTAACATTAAACGTTCTTTGCGAAATGCGTAATATTTCAGTGGTGTAAATGGTCATTTCACACATCCGTACAATCGTCCATGGTTATCTATTGAAGATACCGTAGTAGAAAAAACTGCAGAGGTTGTTGGTATGTCGACTTATTTTAGTATATATACTAATGCGATAGCTAATTGATTAATAATATAACAGGTGCAAAGCCTATCGAAATAGCTATAATGAACACACTTACTTCAAATCTTCATCTACTCATGGCTTCGTTTTATACCCCAACAAAACATAGAAACAAGATTCTGATTGAAGCAAAGGCTTTCCCATCGGATCAGGTTAGTAGGATTTCATACACAACTCACTCTCGTTAAAGTAAACTCTTATATAGTGAAGAGCTGTGAATTCCAGAATTATTAAACTTTGATTCGATATAGTGAAATGCATATAGCATTTTTTTCGATGTAAACTATAGTGATTAGAGATGTTATGTGGTTTGATCTAAGCTAATGGGCCACAGTTAGTCTTAAGACCGGTCTGGAACTGAAAAAATTTGGTCTGTTCTCACTTTTAAGATCAGACCAGTTTGGATCAGTCCGGGCCAGTTAATTTTTAAGACTATGGACTATTAAAAACTGGACCAGCACTGGACCAAAATAGATCAGGCTGGACCAGATCAGACTGTTAACGTCCCTAATAGTGAAGACTTTTTTTCCCAGCCTGTGACTTACTATAACGAGTTCTAATTATACTAATTTTTTTTCAATTATTTATTGCTTAAACATGAACTGCATATGTGATTTCAATTAGTATGCGGTTGAATCCCAAATTAAATTTCACGGTTATAATCCTGCCACAACGTTGATTACAGTTAACCCACCTCCTGGTGAATACACGATAAATTTGGATGATATCTTGAATACGATTGAAAAAGAAGGCTCTTCGATCTCTTTGGTTCTTTTCAGTGGTGTTCATTACTACTCTGGTCAGTTCTTTAAATTAAAAAAGATAACTGCTGCAGCTCAGAGGAAGGTGGAGTATACATATATATAACCAAATTATGCTATTTTAATATCTTAAAGAATTGATTTATTCCGTTTCTTTAGGGATGTGTTGTTGGATTTGATTTGTGCCATGCGGTGGGTAATGTAGTTCTCAGACTTCATAAGTGGAATGTTGACTTTGCAGTGTGGTGTACATATAAATATTTGAATTCTGGTCCTGGTGGTATTGCCGGTATTTTTATTCATGAGAAGCATGCACACGATTTTAATCGACCTAGGTATAAGTTATTCACTTTGATTACGATAATGAAAATTTAGCAATGTGTTTTTGACTTTTAAATCGATAGATTTGCAGGATGGTGGGGTTCCGATAGGAGATCGAGATTCCAGATGGATAAACGTAAGAATATTTGCTTGTATAAAGACATTTGAATTATTATCACATAAGTAGTTAATGCTAGTGTTTGTATTATAGCATTTAGCCCCATCCCTGGTGCCGGAGGTTTCCAAGTATCTAATCCTTCAGTATTGAATACAGTTTCACTTCTTGCAAGTCTCGAGGTGTTCTCAAAAACCAGTATGGTCCAACTTCGATCAAAATCAATTCTCCTCACTGGTTATTTAGAATATCTTTTGGTCAAGCAACTTAATGGTTTAGGATACAAAATTATCACGCCACATGATCCTCATCAACGCGGCTGTCAGATTTCTCTCGTGTTTGATGAGGATAAATTAGATAAAGTGGTTAAAGGACTACTGAGCCACGGTGCAGTTGTTGACGAAAGAAGTCCTGATTGTATCAGAATTGCACCTAATCCTATGTACAATAGTTTTTCTGAAGTATTTAGATTTGTCAAAGCTTTAAAAACTACTATGGGAGATTTGGGATTTAAATTTGAGGCTAAAAAGTAACCAAATTATGAGTTTATAAATTTAAAAATGATTTTTTATGATTTTATTGGTTATATTATTTTATATTTACTATCTACAACTCACTTCCATTATAGTGAATTCTTAACATAGGAAAGAAGGTTTATTACTTTTGATTTAGGATTGATTTTTGAATTACAAATTGTAACTTAGCAAATATTTGATCAACTTCTTTATTGCGAATAATTATCATGTTTAAATAAAATTTCGGTTCTTAGTAAAAAAAAAAAGTGTTAAGTTTGACTTTATGGTAAATTTGTATACTGGTTTTGTAAAAAGAAATGCACTTAGAAAAATGAACGAAATGTCAATAATGATGTTATTTAATGATAATCGTAAACACATGTAACTTGTTTTCTTTATAAGCAAATTAAACTTGGCATAGAGGTGGGATCCGTGGTTACATTTTGGTTAATAAAATCTTGTGAATTTTATCAACTTTATAATATATTTTGTCTTTATATATTTTTATAGTAGTAAGATTTATAAAATAAACTCAAGAACTATGTAAAAAAGTTGCAAAAACATGCTAATAGCAATATGCCACATAGATTTATACTATATATAATAGTAATTAAAAAAATTAACAAATCTGGCCAATATATTTGCTAAAGTCATATTAGAGCTCTGCAAATGCCCATGCCCATTGGCACAAAAATACCAGGCACTCTTGTTGCATAGGCACAAATAATAGTCAAGGCACAAAGTACCAGACACGATTAAATACTGAAATACTGAAATAATGAATACCGTAAATCCGCGAAATAACGATCATGGGCGCTAATTCGAAAATTACATTTTGTAAAAATAGCATTCCCTGTTTCAAAATAACGCCCGAAATAGCGCGCACTCTATATAGCATATAAGTAAATATAATTAAACATTTGGACTGCCGTCAATAGAAATCAGGCAGATTGACATGTTAAAAAAAATAAAAAAATTCAATGCCTTAACTTTCATAGCTCATATCTTGGTGAATTTTGAAGCTAGTAATATCCAAAAGAAATCTTGAGAATTCGTTGAAATATGAGCTGTGAAAGTTAAGGTATTGAATTTTAAAATGTCAATCTGCCTGATTTCTATTGACGGCAACCCATTTGTATAAATAATTATAAAATTTGCCAAAAATTTTTTCTCTCGTTTAATTCTTGTATTGTTTTAGCTTGAACATAATGATCACCTGTATTAAATAATAATTTATCAATCGAAGTGCCCAAGATAATATATTATTCACGTTTATTTAGCCCGTGAGTATAATGATCTTTCATCAAATAATTTCTTGTTTGCATAAGAAGCTATTCATTTATTATTTCTTATTTGCGTTGATTTGAATGACGCCAAGGGAAAAAGCACTCTAATCATATAAAATTTATATGATTAAAGTGCTTTTTCCTTGGCGCCACTCATTTAGTCTAAACATATATTCATTTATTTGATCGAAATATTAAAATTAACTAATCAAGTTCATGAGCCAGCATAAAATATTTTCGCCATCATGAGCACTTTTGAAATTAAGATATTTAAATTGTTCACGATTTAAACTGCTAAAAATGTTTCGCCTTTTTAAATTATATCAAGAGAAAACAATCGTCGCAGCTAATGCTGTAATCGGCTGATGCTGAAATTTGGGGTCGTGATTTGAATATATAAGCACTGCTAAAATCCACATATACTCTTTAATTATCAATTCTAACCCTAAACACTTAATAAACCATAAAAAAAAGCGGGAAAAAATATCCCCAAAATTTTTTAAAAATTCATATCAAAAATAAATCAAATTTCAGCATCAGTCAATTTTAGCATCAGCCGCGACAATAATTTAAAATGCCCATGTATACCCGAAGAGTCATTTTATTAGAAAGATCCCAGACAAATAAGCAAGAACAATACGGGTCAAGTAGATTCAGCTTGTGATTAAGTAACAAAATGGAAGTTATGAAAAGCTTATACATAATAATTTTAAGATTCATAAATCATCACGTTCTTTTTGTTTCAAAGCTGTATATTATATTTGAGATATAACAAGTCTATGAATAAATCGAAGTTTTATTGCGAATCTTCGATAATTGAATATGAAAAAAAATTACAGTAGATGAATATCGAACGTGAAGTTATTTCAACTGAGTTTACTTAATATTTACATCCTTAGCTTCTAAATCTAAGTGTAATGAAATAGTATAAACTAAGTTATAAAGATCACGGAGTTAAAAAAAAAAAGAAAAAGAAAAAAAACGGAAAATTCACAAATAGTTGATAACTTGAACCATACAATGCATTTGTTTAAAAAAAAAAAAAACAACGGGCTTGATCCTTAAAATCTATACTGTGCGCTAGAAATAATAAAATAAGGCTATACAAATTTAATTAATTGTTTCTTATAACCTGACCAGGTCAAATTTTGAAAACTTTGAAAAAAAATTTTTATATGTTTTAATAGCCAGGTGGGTTTTAAAAAAAATTTTTTGAAAAATTTTATGAAATTTTATATATAAAATTTTTTTAAAAAAAGCCAGCCGGTCAGGTTATTTTTAAAATTTATGTTATAAGAATAAGAAACAAAAGTTAATTTTGTATAGTCTAAGTATAAATTTTTTGAATTAAGAATAATTTATATATTTTAATTGATTAATTTCAATTATTTTAGCAACTTACATTGTTTTATTATTATTTTTCCATTCTTTAATTATCCATCATATATTTGTTATCCTATATATTCTCATTATCAGTAATATTTTTATTATTTTTTTTTTAATATTAAAGTGACCACTTAGAAGTCTGGCACATTTAATTAACTTTGTTTCAAATGTCAAAGCTACGTACTACAAGGGTCACTCCTGACTTTGTTACATTAATGAAAGTACAGTTGGTTATACATACAACTTTAGTCATTGCCTATTTAAGAGTTCTGCTATACATATTACTATCTATAGTTACTCACTACTTGCCATACCTGAGATTCATCTGTCCTATTTAAACCTTTTAATCAACTTAGTGCTATCGGCTATTTTTTCCAAAGAAGAGCTCTTTAAGACTTTAAAGTGGATATACACTTCCATATAGAAGGTTCTTTATTCTTATAATAAACCTACTAGAGTGGTCCATGTCTTATACATATATCATTAGATTTTCAAGAATTTATATCTAGGTTACAGCCAAGTATTTGTAGTATTTTACCTTTGCTACCATTATTTACTCTTGCTTTTGCAAAGTTTACTCAAACTTCTACAGGTCAAAAACATGAATATTAAGTATCTGATATTTACTAATTGCTAACTATTGGTATTAAAAATCTAATCTATATTAGCAATATATAAAAAATATCAGAAGCATATTGGGTTAAAAATAAATATCAGATAAATACCCTATATTAATTTTTAACCCGATATGCTTCTAATATTTTTTTATATATTGTTAATATAAATCAGATTTTTGATGCCAATAGTTAGCAATTGATAAATATTAGATACCTGATATTTATATCTTTGATCTGTGTTTAGTACCCACTTTACAGATTATCAACAATACTTTGATGTTAACTATCAGTACTCTAATTTTCTACTTCAAATAGCTTAGAAGAGACTAGTGGGCATCCTTTGATATTCTGAATAAATCTTTTTCCTTTTGGTTATATTTGACAGCCTGATTAGTATAGTGTTTTTGTTAAACACTCAGTTCTTATTTAGTTTGCTTTTAGTATTTAGTTCCCAGATAATAATCCTATATATAGTGCTATAGAAGATCTGTGCTATTTCTCTACTTAGAATTTTCTAAGTGGGCTTCTGTATCTTCTAATTCTTTAAATTAATTTGGTTGCTTTACTCAGAATTTGTATAACTCATATATTACATTATTGTTTTACAACCTTCTAGTACAAACTGATATGACCAAGGTTATAGGTGCTAACTTAAAGATTGAAACTAGTTTAATAATTCAGGTTTATTATATGAATTTTGTAATATTTTAGAATTTATTAAATTTTAATTAGATTAAATTCTAAAATATTACAAAATTCATATAATAAATCTGAATTATTAAAACTATTTCCAACCTCTATACTGACCCAATTAATATATTATATAGTCTGCTGTAACACATTTTACAAATTTAAATTTTATTACTAGTAGGATTCGAACTCTTGTTCTGCCGCTTGGATATATAACAACTTACCAACTTTACTAAGTTGCTATACTCCTATTAGTAATATTTTTATTATCAATAGTATTTTTATTATTAGTAATATTTTTATTATTAGTTGAATTACTATTATCTATCATATTTTCAACTATCAAAATCTAATCTATCTTTTAGAAGTATACTTAACAACTCATTTATATTTATATAGTTTCCAACAATAGCTTAAAACCAATTTGATCTTTTAATATTTTTAATAACATTAAGATTAAGTATAAGTCTGGCTGCTTCAAAAGAATTAACTAAAGTATTTAAACTAATCTTCTTCAGATTTTAGAAATTTATTTATAAACTTAGTTTAGGCTGCAGATAAATTAGTCTGAGTTTCTTTTCTTACTATCTTAGAATATAAAGTTTAAATATATTCTTTTCTTTGTATAAGAGTTATATTCTCTTTTCTTTGTAAGAGAGCTGTATATTCTTTGCTTTGTAAAAAAGTTAAATTAAATTTTAATAAAGACAGAGACTTGGTCTCACCATTAATATTCAAAAAAAATTTATTTATAAACAAGTTTATATAGTACTTTTTATAATTTTATCTTTTTTCTTTATTAATTTTTATTTTGAATTTGCTATATACAAGATAAGATTAGTTACAGAGTATATCAAAATAATATTAATTTAAACTATCTATTATACCTTGTGGATTATATATAGTATAGGTGGGTATATAACTTAAGTGATGACTATAGATATGACATATATAAGAAATATTAAAATTTCTAGAAGATTATATAGTTAACATTTATATTCTTATATTACACCCTCTATTATATATAAAAAACTAATCC